TCATAGCTTTGGCTCTCCCGTGTGCCTCGAGACAGTGGGAAAAGCTCAGAACAGCCGAGATGGGTACGACATTAACCGATGATGTTGGACTGATGAAGCAGTTGTGGTTTACAGATCCTTACGGTAAACCCAGTGGCAAGTGTTCTCTCACCAAAGAAGGGGTTAAAGGATGCACCTGCCCGAATGGAGTTGCCCCGTTCTTCTCAACAGTGAGTGACACGCTGGTTTTCCTATTACGAGGCTGAAAAATCACTTTTTTTAGAAGGAGGTTTCCGATGGTCACTATATTTTAACATCTACGATTTGCACTACTGAGTGCCTTTTCGACGACGAATGTCCCTCACCTGTCGGTGGGGTTCTAGTAGAACCTTTCTGTGCATCCAACGGTCGGTGTTTACTCTCGTGTGCTAAGGTGAGGTTGTAGTATTCAACAACAACAACGACTTCATATGTTTCTCAGTCGTTCTCATATTGCCCATCTAGGAGTAGATGTGGGGATGTGAATCTTCCTTGGAGCGAAGAAAAAATCTCCAACGTGTGTCGATTTGTGGTGTAGAGCTGTGTAGCGATGAAAACGCCAACAGGGCGTCTTGATATCGTTCATGTTTACAGGTCTGTGTCACCGACCCTCCGTAACACACAATATGTCTCTCTAGGTTGGAGGAATCCCTCAGCTAAGCTTATGATGAAGATAGTCCTCGACGGCTAAGTATAAAAAGGCCTTGTAAGGCATTCTTCTCATATGCAGTGTAGTGTTAGCTCAACGGGCAAATCACCAACAGAAGTGTCATCAATGAGTGCGTGCGGTCAATAGAGCGTCCAATTTGAAGAGTATTTATCCTCTAGTAGGACATGGATGGTAGTGTCACCCTAGCACAAATTGTAGAGTACCCTTTCACATTGCTCAAAGGAATCTTAAAATCTTCGCTGTGCGCAGCAAACCCTGATCAAATAGCTTCTATGCTGTTAACAATATCAAACGGACAGTAGCCATCTTCTCAGAAACCTATTTGAGCAATAGTAACTTCTATTTGTACGGGTGGGGGCGGAATTAGGGTAAATTACCAAATCCAAGGAAGAACGACAAAATCCAAGGAGGCTCGTCGTTCGCTCTCAGCAGTTTCTGGTAGCCTTTGTTAACAGATTTCACCTGTATAACAGTTCGGGTTTCTGGTTGCCTTTGTTAACAGATTTCACCTGTATAACAGTTCGGGTTTCTGGTTGCCTTTGATAACAGATTTCACCTGTATAACAGTTCGGGTTTCTGGTTGCCTTGTCGGGTTTCGGGTTTACCCTTCAACTTGTCTTCCTTTTGTATATCATCCAACGGAACTTCAATTTCGAGAAGGGGTCGGAAAAAAATTAACTTTTTTTTCAACGCCTATTTTGGAATGGCGAGCGAAATGAAAGTAAAAAAACGTCCAGTTTGACTGCTCAGTACTTGCCCCCGGCTCGCTGAATAAGACAGATTAAGACGATTTGTTGTTTTGCATGGCTACGTTTATCATGTTCTCGTGATAATTGACTGTTTCCAAAACAACTTCACTTTGAAGTTTAGAAACGACAATTTGAATACTCTGTTTGGCTGGTTGGTTCCATCCCAGTAGTATTTCATACACAAGGTAAATTGGAGGTTAATATTATTCTTATATGAAAACTTAACTCTTGCGTCACATAGATAGTACTAGCAGCCCGCGTCGCTTCGCTCCGGGGATAGTGCCGGGTGTTGTGGGTCCAGTTTGCCTGCACCCTTGTAATCTCATCAAACCTTCGCCTTCCTCAGTATAGCGAATGAGCCCAATATCGATTACTGTGCTGCTAAGTCTGTGGTATTCGTACAGAACTTAAGTGCAGGTAGTGCGCTTATTGTTATTGTCTTAGGGTCGTAGTATTGGTTGCTCTAGCTCGAGTTCCCTTGTTGTGTTGTTCTTAGAGTTCATCAACCGATACCCCGACACCTTTTTGGTGGAGGACGACGCTTGGGTTTTGTGGGACGATGGTATCTATCGACCGGTGGGTGAGCACCGGGATTATACTACTGAGGAGGTAGATGAACTCAATCGTGTGGCCAATGCGGGTCCTCATCCAGAGGATTTTTACGGGCCCGATGACTCTTCTGCCCCGACATCTCTGCCTACAGTACCCCCTGCCTTCGATTGGGACATAGACGGTGCTATTGCGCGAGCTGGCTTACGGCATCCGGGTTGGACAATCCCTTCGCCTTTTGTCCCGAAGTCACGTGCTTGGGACACTATTTGTCTTCGAGGTTCTGCCCGTGAAGATGCTACCTGGCTTACACGCTCTCCCACCGCCGTTTCAGTCGAGGCTTATCAGTCTCATGAGTGGCATGACTACTGGGAGACCTTTGGGGACACTCGCTGTTCGTCCCGCATGTTGGGGTCCACGATCATCTTCGAAGATCTTAAGGTGGCTGGTGTGGTGTCGTCTCTTGACGAAGATTGTGCCGGACGTTGTTTGCTACTCTCCGGGTTGAGTGCTGGCCCCTATCGCGGTGTGTCCCGTGAGGATGACTCATATCCTCCTCCCTATATTCCGGCGGCCCCTGCCATTCTTCGGTGGTTGCATAGTGCTGATATCCCCGCCACCGCTGTAACCATACACTGCGATTATGGGCATCGTTATGGTGAGCCGAGGAGTGAGTGTACTGTTCTTTGCTGTTGTCCCGCTCATACTGAGCTAAGTGTTCATAGGATTATGCGTTTGTCCCGAGAACGACCTTTACGCCCTCGAGCATATACTTTCGTCGCTCGGAGCAACCGCTCCTTCGACTTGAACTTGTGGGACCAACGGGGACGCCGTTCTGGACTGGATACTCCTGAAGCCCTTGTCGATCTTCTCTACAAGTACGAGGTGGCGAAGAATCAGTTCGAGAATGCCCCGTTGCCTTTCACTCGATTTTACCGTTGGCCTCAGTTCTTTCGGGATATCCGCCCGCATGAGTGGTTATTAGCCGAGCAGTATGCTTATCCTTACAATGTGGACTATGAGAACGTCTCCATTAATCATATTTGGCGTCGTACTGGTCTCAATGCTGGATTGGAAGAAGTAGTGTATCCCCTTCTGGACTATTACCGTACGGCTGATACCCGTTTCGTCCCGTCCAGGTGGCCTGGTTGGAACTATCGTGGCCTCAATTAGGAAAGTGGATCTTTTGCTTATTTTCTGTCCCGTAGCCTCGATACCCGTGTATCGTGGCTCGGTTGACCTTTGCTAGACTCTATCTTTCCGTCAGCTATTGTCATCGTCCTTATTATTGTGAAGTCTGAGGGTTGGCTCAGGTTTTGGGGGGGACGAGGTGTTGTGGGTCCAGTTTGCCTGCACCCTTGTAATCTCATCAAACCTTCGCCTTCCTCAGTATAGCGAATGAGCCCAATATCGATTACTGTGCTGCTAAGTCTGTGGTATTCGTACAGAACTTAAGTGCAGGTAGTGCGCTTATTGTTATTGTCCTAGGGTCGTAGTATTGGTTGCTCTAGCTCGAGTTCCCTTGTTGTGTTGTTCTTAGAGTTCATCAACCGATACCCCGACACGGGTTATAGTGCATTTCCTGCATGGTTTTTGCACTTGATTTGTTATGAAAGTAAAGCGTGGACTCCACAGTGTGGAGTAATAGAGGTCTCCCAGTCCTTCTCGTTTAGGAAGATGAGCAGGTATGCTTCAACACGAGTGTATGGTTGAATATTATTACTCCAGTGACAATGCATGATTTCAATTTCAAAACTTTTTGTGAAAACAAAACGAATTTAGGAACTTCAATTTGGACACGTACTTCCTGCATTTATGGTAGCATTTTATTTTGCATCCTCCGGCGTGCACTGTCGGTGATAGTGTCTTACCGGTCCTCTATATTACAATGAAGATATAAGAGTCACAGAGTTTTTGAATGTGTTTTCTGTGCGAAAAATATCGAGTATTCAGAAAATACGTCATAGCATTCGAAAGCTCTTGTGAAGAGCTCCCAGATGGTGTTAGAGTTGTTGGAAAACTCAATGGCACTCACGAAAAATTCAAATTTTACGCTCGGCAGGAAATGACTTGTTAATAGAACAGGTAGCACTTTGTTGTTATTTCACACGAGTAATAGCTGCGTTATTGCACCTGCCGCTAGCTCTAGAAAAGCTGTTTTTTTAACAACGAGTGGTATGGGTTTTTATTTCTGAATATTCAACTTGCACAAACGGTTATTCAAGAAAAACACATTCTGTAGTTGCGTTGTAGTCTCGTGTAATACTGCTCGAATTCGATAAACTTGTTGTTGTTGTTGTTACTCCTGGTCCTTCGTTTCTGCCTCTCCTCGGGGTCTTCATGGGAATACCAAATCTCAACATCGACGGGCTTAGGGTGCTGTTCCCGTACGATGCTATCTACCCAGAACAGGTAGTATAGGGAGGGTTTTAATATTTTACGGAGTTTCGCGTCTCTGTGTGGTAACACTACTTGTAAATTTAAGACAGATATGCTCCCACGATCGATAGCACAGTTATGAAATAGCTTTCTCAGTAGTGTGTTTCATATCACTAGGGTGAAACTCATTTATGGAAAATACGAATATGATAATACACATGTTTTGGGTGCGTAAAATGATATTCAGATCTCATTGGAGTTTGACAACCCGTTTTACGTGAAGTGGCTTCGTAAAACTCGGTGAAAAACGACGATATTCGCGATGATATGCAGTAGTCGTGAAATATGTTTTTCATACCACCAGGGTGGTGAAACTCTATTTTTTGCCTTGTGCCTCGATGGTGATTCACGAATACTACTAAATGTAAAATTTTACGTCGCAAGCACAGTGCAATAATCATAGCTCATATATTTTTACACTGTAAATGCAGTAAAAGGCGTACGAAACAAAGCGCTATATTTTACGAGGCTTACATTTCAACACTTCTAGAGATATCCCTGTAGTGATTATCAGAAAATTGTTGAAAAATCTATTCTTGATCATTTTCATAACGACTTTAGTGATGGGCTCAACATAGTGGAGTTTCACGACCCGTTTTACGCGAAGTGGCGTGATACTTTGTAAAAAACGCGATATTCGCGGTGATATGCAGTAGTAGTGAAATATAATTTTCTCACTAGCGTTTTTCATACCACTAGGGTGAAATTCCAATATATTATAAAATCATCAGCATTTCTTGCCAACAATCTACGCTCTCACTCGTACGGTTCGAACGCTCTATTATGCCCACGTGGAGTTTTCAGCTGTATATTCTGCGGATCATGTCGTTATAGCGCGTTTATTTTTATATAAAGTAGTATTAAACTCTCTATTGATTTTCGGTTTAAACTTGACCTCTCCTGAGTTTTGATTTTTTTTTCCAAAAATTCGGGAAAATTTATCCTCCTGAATCTTTGAAAAAAAATTGAAATTTTAATTTTTTTGATGAGCATCGGGTTAATAGTACTTGTTGATATTTAAAAATGCTAAGGTCGTGGAAAATAATTTCTACGATTGATGTTATTGGAGTTTCACAACCCGTTTTACGTGAAGTGGCTCTGTAATACTCTGTGAAAAAGAACGATATTCGCGGTGATATGCAGTAGTCGTGAAATATCATTTTCACGGTTGTGAAACTCCACTATTTGATATCTAATACGCTCTTGCGAAGTGAGTTGAATTTTGTGGAAAATTTGAAATTTTCTGAGGCACGTTACTCAGGTACAATACATGCACTATTTAAAACAAGCACTGGATGCATCACATGGACAAGGCCTCATCGAAATGCCTACTGGTACGGGGAAAACAGTTACTATTATGAGCCTTATTACGAGCTATCAACTCTCACATCCACAGGTGAGCAGTTTTGTGTTATCCGAATTTTCAACTGCTGTTAAGGTCGACCGGAATTTTCGTATAGAAAATCTAGAAACAAGATTGGAGTTTCACGAACCGTGGTATGGAAAACACTAGTGAGAAACATATTTCACCACTACTGCATATCACCGCGAATATCGCGTGTTTCTCCGAGTTTTACGCCGCTTCACGTAAAACGGGTTGTGAAACTCCAATATACTTTGATATTAAAAATATATATATAATCGAAAAATTCTCTCTTCAAATCGCATGTAGTGGAGTTCTATGAAAAAAACACTAGTGAAAAACATATTTCACTACTACTGCATATTACCGCGAACGTCGCGTTTTTCACTGAGTTTCACCACCCTAGTGATTTGAAAAACACTAGTGAAAAACATATTTCGCGACTACTGCATATAACCAAGTTCACGTAAAAGTTGAATGTATTTTGATCTGATAATGATGCTGTTTAGATGGGCAAGTTGGTGTACTGTACGCGGACTGTACCAGAGATGAACCAAGCCATTCGAGAGCTGAAGTTGGTGATAGAATACCGAGAGCGTGTCCTCGCAAGTGAAAAGCCTGATGAGGCGCCTCAGGTGAATTCAGTCGTCCGTCGTTTTGTTGTTGAAGTTTTTCATCTTCATGTGCAATTTTGGTGAAAATTTTGTATATTGTTGTTGTTTTTTTTCGTAGATTTTCACACAAAATCGTGAGTAAATTTTCAAAATGTTGTGAGAAAAATTCTGAGCTCGGGTGAGGAAACCAGAAATATGTTTTAACATTTATATTTCAATTCGTTTGTGTAGGTGTACACTGCACTTTCACGACCGTGATATGAAAAACACTAGTGAAAAGCATATTTCACATCTCACTCTGCAGCTTAGCAGTGAACAACGCGCGTGAAAACAAGTGATGTGTTTTACGTGAAATAGAGTTTCATGTCCAGCTTGATTTGCGAAGTATTTTGAATTCACTTCATATCGCGTATTTTACGTGGAGTATTACGCCACTTCACGTAAAACGGGTGGTGAAATTGCACCACATTTGGCATAATTTTCTTGTTAATATTAGTTTTTTTTTCTCAGAAATTTCTGGGTATCGGTTTATCCGCGCGTCGTAATATGTGCATCCACCCCGACGTGGCAAACCAAGCTGATCGCGATAAAATTGATATAAAGTGCAGGGAAATGACGAGTAATTTCTTGAATAAAAAAAGGTATTAAGTTCTCCCTAGTTGTTGGTGGTGGTTTGGTATTGTTTGAAATGCGGGTGATTGTTTTTTGTATTTTTCTGAAATGGAGTTTTACGCGTTTTACGCGAAATGGCGTAATTTTATGTGAAAAACGCGATATTCGCGGTGATAATATATTTTTCACTAGTAGTTTTCATATCACTAGGGTGGTGAAACTCCAATGCGAAGTGAATACAGAAAACCTTTGTGGAATTTTATACAAAATTGCGAACCGACAGTGTTGGGGGAATATATGTACAGTAATCGCTTTTCTCAGCTGAGCTCAGGAGTTTCCAAAGCTAACTCGGGTAGAAATGTACAGAAACCAATAGAAATTTCCCAAAAGTTTTCGCAGAATTTTCTCACATGTAGTTGACCATGTGCATATTTTCCTACACTGCAAACCGGTTTGGTATTTCTTGAGAATTTTTTCCACGCAGTTTTTCGTGCTCAGTTCAAGCACCTCCACAGGCCGTTGTTCCTTTTTTGAGCAGTACGACGAGTTGATCGGAGGTGTTGGTAAGCGCTATAATAATGACAGTGAATCGGCATCAAACGAGGAGAAAAAGAAGTTTGCGGTACTGAATTTTGGCAAATTTTTTTGTCCAATTTTTTGATTTAGATTCCTAGTGGAGTGTATACGTTGGAGGATCTAAGGGTAGCTGGAGGAGCTGAAGGCTGGTGTCCTTATTACATGAGCAAACGCCTCCTACGCCATGCTGATGTGATTGTATTTAATTATCAGTAGGGGACAATTCACTAGGAGTCATACCACACCTTTGTCAACTCAGATACGTGTTGGACCCGAGAGTGTCGGCGTCGGCGTTGATTGCTGGAGAGGCTTCTGGTAGAGGCGTGATGACTCATGGTGCACTTGCTAAGGAGGGGGAGGAGAGACCGGCTGCGTTGGGTGTTGATAATAATGATGATGATCAGCAGTAGGTTGAGGGAGTTTAACACGTTTTACGTGGAGTTTTACGCGTTTTTTGTGAAGTTTTACGCGTTTTACGTGAAGTTTTACGGTTTTATGTAAAGTTTTACGCGTTTTTTGTGAAGTTTTACGCGTTTTATGTGAAGTTTTACGTGAAGTTTTATGCGTTTTACGTGAAGTTTTACGCGTTTTATGTGAAGGTTTACGCGTTTTACGTGAAGGTTTACGCGTTTTTCTCCATGTGAAAAACGCGATATGAAGTTTGGAGGAATGACATTATTTTACGTGAAACACAGCACGCGTTATTCACTGGTTAAACGCGTTTTTGGCGCAAGTGAAATGTGATGAAATATTTTTTCACTAGTGTTTTCCATATCACGGGTGAAACTTCATTGAGTTTATGTGTTAGGTTTGAACCCGCGGTTGTGATTTTCGACGAGGCGCATAATATCGATGATATTTGTATGGATGCTTTGACGGTTACAGTTGATAGAAAGTAAGAGCGGTGTTGTTATTCCGGAAAAAAAAATTTACCCTTAAGGAGTTTCACCACCCAAGTGATATGAAAAATACTAGTGGAAAATATATTACACGACTACTGCATATCATCGCGAATATCGAGCCACTTCACGTAAAACGGGTTGTGAAATTCCATTGGTAGTAGAGGATTTACGAAAAAAAAGAATTTTGTATTTTGTGAGAATTGTCGGTATTAATGTGGTCTTTGAGAAAGTACCTTGCTTTCCCTCTGTAGAACGATCGATCGGGCGAGTAGCAATGTGAAGCGGCTACAGCATGAGGTAGCTTTTAAAACTGATTGATGACTGCGTTTACTTCTTCACGATAGGTTACCCAGTTAAAAAAAGTTGACGAAGCCCGATTGAAGGCTGAGGTCGAGAACTTAATGCGCGGGTTGGCACCAGCGTCGGGGATGTCTGAGGAGGATGAGTGAGTTTGTGGGAATTGGAGTTTTCACAATTAGTTTTACGTGAAGTGGCTCTGTGATACTCTGTGAAAAAGGCGATATCATTTTCACTAGTGTTTTTCATACCCACCATTAAGTGTATTTTTTTTCATTTTTGTCGATTTTTTTGGTAAATTTTTGGGAATTTTTGACCAGAATTTTTTTTGAACATAATATTGTCTTCGGTCTAGATTGGAGTTTCACAACCCGTTTTATGTGAAGTGGTGTAATCCTGCTTGTAAAATATAAGTGTCCGCGACCGATAACACACTTTTTCTCTGCGAAGTGAAGTGTGAAATTAGATTTTTTTTTCACTAGTGTTTTTCATATCACTAGGGTGCAACTCCATTGTTGAGATGTTGCTTATTATCATGCTAATTCTCACTTTTTCCCAGCTTTCGCGAAAAATTTGAAATTGTTATACTCTACTGTTGAGGTCGGTTCTCGAAAGCCGATATATGTGGTTTTTTTGCGGGAAAAATTTGGAATATTTTTGATGAAATTGATAACTGCGAAAATTGCGATATAATTGATGAAATTTTCGGAAGTGAAAATATGATGGTTAACTTAACAACGTAGACTGTTTAGCGAGATTGATTTCAATGTGATAGTAAATATGCGTTTTAGGTCAATCAGTGCACTGCGGTTTGGTCCCAATGAGCTGAAGAAAGCTGTCTCTGGCGTTTCACATTTGGTGATTCCTGGCAATGTTCGTCAAGCTGAACATTTTTTGGGAGTACTTCAGCAAGTTTGTGCATTCCTGAGAGCGTATATCAGGTGAATTCATCAGGGGAATATGGAAAATTAGGAATTTTTATCATGTGCAGAGTTGACAAGGCTCGAGCAGAAGGTCCGCTTATGTTCTTACACGAGCTGGAATCGCAGCAGTTTATAGAAGCTCGAACGATGAAGGCTTTTGATGCCCGTTTGAGGAGTCTTATGAATACACTGAAGATTACTGATATAGACGAGTGAGTTGTGGTTGATAAAATGTGTGGAAATGAACATCTGTTTGTTGGTATATACAGTGGAGGTTCACTAGCACTAGTTAAGAACGTATTTCACGACTACTGCGTATCACCGCGAATATCGCGTTTTTCACGGAGTTTTACGCCACTTTACATGGTGAAACTCCAGTGTGCCCTAGTGCGGAAAATATGCACACAGTTTCGATATATATGTTTCTTTTCGTCAGCAGAGTTCAGGATTTTCCTCACGATAGTTTGAAAATTTACGAGAAGGGAGAACTACCACGATTTTATCATTGTCATCAGCACGTGTGGGTGACCATATGCGTATTTTACTACACCTCTTCATCGTATGTTCACTACAGTGTTCGCTCTCCTCAGCTGAGCTCAGGAGTTTCCTATAGAAATATATATGCGCGCACTGTTGTGAAAACGTACAAGAATTTCCCGAAATTTCACCAAAATTTTCATATTGTCACCAACACATTTAGTTGACCATGTGCATATTCCCTCTCCCCCCACGCTTAGTTGAGTAATACCATAACTACTCTTACTTTTTTATATGATCTGTAATGATTTTGAATAATTTTTCTATAAAGCTTGTTCAATGTGGTTTATATACGAGTCCTGTATTGACAAAATAATGAAGTTTCACAACCCGTTTTACGCGAAGTGGCGTTATACTCGATGTGAAAAACCAAACATTCGCGGTGATATGTAGTAGTATTTTTTATATGTGAAACTTGAATGTCTTCTGAGGAACTCCTTATGAACATTGTGAACTGCGTGTCATCACATTAGGAAGATCATTTTCCCAATTGTTATGAAACTGTATGGATAATTTTCTCGCGAAGTTAAATGAGTTCGCCCTGTTAGGTTCTCACCGTTGACGAAGATATGTGATCTGTGTACACTGGCGTCGTTGCATTCGAAGGGCTTTGCTGTTCTTACAGACCCTTGTCCCGAAGCTGAGGGTAAGTGGAAGTTTTATTGGAGTTTTACGCGAAGTGGCTCGTAAAACTCGTTGTGAAAAACGCGATATTCGCGGTGATATGCAGTAGTCGTGAAATGTGTTTCTCGTATCACTAGGGTGGTGAAACTCCGTTATATAAGACATATACATTTGATTAACATGTTGTAGTAGAGTGCCTCGTTTATAGGTATATATGACCCGCA